CCTTGCATGTCTCGACAAATCGCACGCGAGTAGAAGACTCTTGTTTCCAAGCCATTTATTGAATGCTGTTTTCTTCTCTTTAACTGCCAGTTATACCCCTCATGTCCATCATGAAGATCTTTTCTGACCTCCAGGCGCCAGGCCAACCCCTTTATATCCGCAGCATTCGGTGGCAGCCTCGAGTATGCCGCTCCTAAAGAGCTGCCACTCGGCTTCAACATCAGTTGTCATCACTGGGATCTGTTCAAACCGTCGTACGGTGTTGTTTGCAAAATTCGCTCTCGTGTCCACCGAAGATAATGTGTCCCGTTTGATTCTCCGGTTGCTTCTGCCATCAGATCTTCGTATAGTCCTCCATTTCTTACAGTGCAGCGTGCCAACAACAAGGTGACCATCGGTTGTTAGCTCTGCGCCTCTCTTAACGCGATCATCCAAGCGTCTTAAGTCAGATGACACGATTATCAAATCGATCATCGTCTTCTGTGCACAAGCTTCGTGGTACCAGGTGTCCTGATGCACTTTTCGATGCTCAAAGAAGGTATTCATAATGGACAATCCGTTGTTTGCACAAAACCGTAACAACTTCATGCCGTTATTGCTGAGGTGGCTAGGGCCGTTTTTTTCCAATTACGCAGTTCCACTTTTCAGCGTCTACTCCGACATGCGCATTAAAATGAGGGACTCTGTATTCAGCACTTCGGACGGAGCACACTGCACTTCCTCAAGGAAGGTCTCACATTCTCCCTCCAAATTTGGCGCACAGACCTGTACGAAGGTCATCGCTATAGCCTGTTGCAGTTTCATTCGGAGGATTGCCACCGTTCCGCTGACACCGGCCTCACCGCGAGTCGTGGTATCGACGCCTGAGTAGAACAGCTTCCATCCATTGAGGTCCAGGATTCCAGAGCCTTGGCGTTTCGCTGAGGAGAGTTCAACAATGTCGAGTTGGTACTTTATGGCCTCATCAACTAACTCTTGTTCTTTTCCTCTGAGTGAGGATATGTTTCAATTTCCGACTGGTGGCTCGCGTTGGTGGTGTCGTTCTCGTTGGTGGTGACGTGCTATAATGGCATCGCGCTGTCCTCGGTTCAAAACGGGTAGCGACTCTGTTGCTGTCTGGAATCTTCGTCGTCGTTTCGTCAGTCTTCGTCAGCCGTTGTTGTGCTGCTACGCCCACGCTGGCAGAGGGCAATGAGCAGGCTCTGATCGCCGACTTATGGCAGTCTGCCTGAGTCCCCAACAGCCTACGCCGCCCTTGGTAACCCGGGCGACGAACGAGCCGGTATAATTTTCGATGGCGTCAATACCATGACTGGCAGGTGGCTGAATTTTACGGAGACTTGCCACGATCTCCAACCCTCCTCTTTTCCCATCTCATTATCAAGTAATCTTTACAATAATTATTCTTATTGCTATTCAGCAGTATTGATATTTGAATACTTCATTCCTTTTCGCATAACTTTTAAGAAAAAATCGCAATTAAATAATTAAACACACACACACATTAGGCGAGTCACGGAATTCCCGACCGTGCAGACGCTAAGCATGTGTCGCGTTCTGTTCGTATGGGGTTAACGCAGAACTACAATTCCCGCAGCAGGTGGAAACAGGGTTGACCTACGCTCATTCAACGATATTCCCATTCAAAACAAAACGGCTGAAAAACTGCAGAGTGAAACTAAATTAACTATCAAAAGAAGCAACGCATACAACACTATATTTACTGCAATATTATGCTATATTTGAAGATTTATCTAGTTATTTTATGGCATTTCTAAACCACGCCTATCGTATGCGTCATAGACATCCAACAATGAGTCATGTATGTTTGGTATGGCAGATATGATGAAGCGCATCGTCCTTATTGATAATGGTAGCTATAAACACGCATCCTAGAAACGACTGACCGAATAAAAACCGAAAATGGGTTTCGCTTGCACGACATATGCTCTGATCTGCCACAGTAATATTTTTGGCGATCATCACCGCACCCCAAACTCCATGAAAACCAGCTGTCATACACAGTTTCGTCACAGCATTGTAAGGCAGATCGACATCTGAAACGGCTGCAGACTTACCTTACCATTTATCACATGTTCGACCACTATCAAAGATTGTAGGATGGTGCTGGAGTCAGGAACAGCATCTTATCCCAAGGTGGAAAAAGATCCAAGCCAACAAACAGTATCTATGAACTGCTGAGCAGCAGATCATGTCATAACAGACAAAGCTCTCACATGCACCACTGCTGCTACATCGATCCCCCTACCCTGGCATGGAAGGCTGGAGTTATAAACAGCGTAGTGCGGGAAAGACCAGA